TTCAAAGTAACCCAATATATACATATTGGAGCCATAGAGAAGATAATATTACACATACAAAGTTTTTGCTGTGAAACAGCTATGTTTGCATGATTGTGTCAGTTTGAAAAGTATATGTAGGATTAGTATAGTAAAATTACAGGGAACAGAGACCTAACACTATAAATATCAAGAACGCACGACGCGTACCATGAGGGTAGCAGCATATACTTAGACATCAATGGCACTATCCGATCTTATAATAAGTGACAGTTATTACTTTCCATCTGGCAGGCCGTCGGTTTGTTTGACATTCTAAATAGCAAAAAAAAAAAAAAAACTAGTGCTTTTAACCGTTGAAGTAACACAAGTATAAAAAGGTGACGCAATATTTCCATCCCCCCCCCCCCCAATTGTTGCTATTGTCTTCGAATTTTTAAACTCAAGTAATTTATGAATGCCTCCAACATCAAAAGCAAGTTCGAACAGGACAGCTGTGTACGGTTTTTCGGGATTGGAGGGAAAAAAAAACTATTATTATCAGAGATTTAAAGTGTCATTGACAAATATGTGGTGATTAAGAGGTCTCTACTAACCGGAGTGATGTCCTTGATCCGCTGCACGTCGATGGCGCCGGTTATGATCCAGCAGACCAGCGTCAGCACCGACAGGAACATCACCAGGGGCACGAAGTAGCTGCAATGTCATAACGATATAATAGTAACATGTAACATATATTTGTTTTTTCTCAAACATACTTGGAAATGTAAGCATTATTTTAATAATATTCTTCGAGATAAAATTGCCGTACTGGCCAGATACATGCGGGCAGCGGCCGGCAGAAGTTGTATGAAAATCCATATCTGTCGTGTTTTGCGGCCAGATAAATTACTATATAAACTCATATCTGTCCTGTAATTTAAAAATGGAATGACCTTTTACTTCGAAATATGGCTACCAAGCCAGTTCGAAATTTAAATAAAACCTTGTATTAGTTATACAAGGTTTTATTTAAATTTCGAACTGGCTTGCAAAATAGAAAGCTGTTTATTGAAAAAAAAAAAAAACAAACGAACATTATGGCGCGTGAAAAATTATTATTGTTCGTTATTTGTCATTGAACCTAAAAAATAAAATTGTGTTTTTGATTTCCGCGCATTGTTTGAGAAAAGTACTATACAAGCCTTGGCCTATACTATACAACTGAGGCATTGATAGACTCACGTATGTGTGCCTCGGCTACGCCTCGGCCCACATTTGCACGTTCGTCCATCAATGCCTCAGTTACTGGCCGCTGCAGTACTGTATTATAGTATTGTAAAAAATTCGAAATAAAGAATATAATCCACAATATCATGAGTAGGATCCATGTCTGGTCCAAATAAAGTTATTATTAGTGTACAAAATATGTTAAACTTAAGTCCAAGCCACATTGGCCTTGTGTTGGGACCACCGCGGCTCACCCGGCGATGGTGTCGGCGAGGCGCTGCACGGGCGCCTTGCTGCTTTGCGCGTCCTCGACCAGCTTCACGATCTGCGCCAGCGTGCTGGCCTCGCCCGTGTGCGTGGCCACCATCACCAGCGCGCCGTGCTGGTTGATGCTGCCGCCTATCACCAGGCTGTCTGCGGGATGACGATAACAGTGAGGGGGAGGGATTGTTAGCAATACGAACTTACAGTACTTACTTACAGGATATGGCGTTAATTTACAGGGTACAAAAAAATAACACCTGAGTCCTCAGGAATGGCAACGCATGGGGGGTATCATGGGCGTTACAGTAATGTCTGTTATGTCATTCATCACTGGTGTTCTGCCAGCGCATACTAATAGGCGGAATTCTCATTCCACTTTTATCACTTCAAAAACACAATAGTCATGGGGGGGGGGGGGGATTAGAGTTTTGTTAATAATGGAGGTGTAACAAGCTATATCATCAAAATTATATTACCTTTGGTCTTAGCTACAGGCATAGCTTCTCCAGTGATGAGTGACTCGTCACATGTGCTCTGCCCAGATAATACTCGACCGTCTACCGGGATCTTAGCTCCCGGGATTACCTATGGACAAAGAAGGGAATAAAATGTAAAGTTGCAAACTGCATTCCTATATATATATATATATATATATATATATATATATATATATATATATATATATATATATATATATATATATATATATATATATAATCCACTAACTGAGCCTTACAGTCTTCCAATACGCTCACCCAGGAAAGCATGAGTACAATAACATATAAAAAGGAATATTACACAAAAATATTAAATAAAAAATAATATAAAAAGATTTAACTCAAACAAAAATCGTGTGAACACAAATACTCTGTGGTCACCCGACGAGACTCCAGCAAGTTGGAGGCAAATACATTCAATTGCGGACACTGCCTCAAAATATCATATATATATATATATATATATATATATATATATATATATATATATATATATATATATATATATATATATATATATATATATCAGAATGATATTTTGATTCAAAATGACTCTACGTTATCATAATTATTTATTAATTTATTAAATCAAGTTAGTATTCTCTGAACAGGTCAGCAGATTTCTAATACATTTAATAGTGTAAAACTATATTTCAGATCATAAATAACCCCTGGTTTAATATTTTTAACACTTTAAAATATCTTTAGCATGACTGAGTATACGATAAAAAGCCTCTCTTTACCCGTCAAGATACATATATGTCATATACTAACTTTGAGCACATCTCCCCTCTCGACCATGTCGACGGGCACGCTCTTCTCGCTGACCACGTGCCCGTTCTCGTCCAGGGTCGCCAGAAGCGCCTCTGTTGCCTTCAGGGACAGCAGCTTCGATAGGGCCTCAGATGTTTTACCCTACAAAAGATTTTTTTTTAATATATTTAAACATATCTCTAAGCGTACCGCAATCAAGTTCCAGTGAATTAGATAGATGGATAAACACTTTGTGTCATTATGACACACGTAAATTAACAAATGAGGCCATACAATCAAATTATTTACACTTTTTTTTAAATATAAACAATAGATAAAGTATGGAAATATGTTTCCGCCATGTGTGTCGCAGCGACTCAAATAGGCTACAGCTCAATGATAGTTTTGCTTAAAAGCAAAGCACTGATTTTCAGCTACAGCCTGAAGTTAGGCTACACGGACGCATACAACAAACCCAGAGTGTAACTTGTGTGACCAATATAACAGCCAAAGATAAAAATATACTATATAAATAAATGATGCATAAACAATATATTTAAATAATTAATTAAACATACTTATTATTACGTTATTTATCAAAGATGTGTATACAAAATTATATTTACATCCGTTCAGCCGTTACAGTATCACCACCATCACACGTAGGTGTGATATTTGGCAGTGACCAATACTCCCATTGCTAGCAATATATCCTATCATGTTGACTTCCACGAGGTCTCTGTTGGAAATCATAGTGTTACAAGGAGCCAACTGACCTAACTTCATGTACTATCATTCTTTTTTTTTTTTTTTTATACAACTTAGAATGGCAAACAAGCTGACGGCCCACCTGATGGAAAGTGGTAACCGTCGCCTATAGACACGAGCAGTACTATGGACATAACAGAGTATACTGTTTCGCCCATGATACCCTCCATGCGTTGCCATTCCTGAGGACTCGGGTGTTATTCCTCTGTACCCAGTAAATTCACGCCATATGCCACCCTTCAAACCGAAACACAGCCATGCAAACACAACTGCTTCACGGTATGAATCATTAATGGGACAGAGGTACCCAAGCAATCGACTTTTGTACAAAGTCTCTCTCTGGAGGAAAGGATTGCTAGTAATACGGATCACCTATAATGTAATGGGACTCACTGCTAGTAATATACCCCTGTCAGCTTGGTCTCCACGTGGTCCCCCAGGAAACTGTCGTGTTGAATTCCAGGTATATTCATCGCAATGGGCTAACTGACTTGTTTCATCTCACCTATCATCATTCACTAGTATTTCGCCAACGCTACGTTATATATATATATATATATATATATATATATATATATATATATATAACGTAGTCGCAGTTACCGTTCTTTTAAAGCACTGGGTCAGCAGTCCGACCAATCGGGAGCGTACCTTGGCGATGTGCTCGAGCCAGCGGCCAAGCGAGACGAACACGAGCAGCATGGGCGGCGTGTCGAAGAACGTCATCGGGCTGGTGTCCTGCTGCAGCGCCATCGCCGCCACCACCACCGCCACCGAGTACAAATAGCTGCACACACCAGCACACGGTCATTAGTAACCGGCTGTTCCGTGCTCGCCACAACAGCCACGTGACCGGAGTCAAACGTAGCCTACGTTCTTCTCTATACCAAAACGTGTATACCTACCAGAGGGAGACTTTGTACAAAAGTCGTTTGCTTGGGCACCTCTGTCCCATTCGTGTTTCAACCGTGAAGCAGTTGTGTTCGCATGGCTGTGTTTCGGATTGAAGGATGGGATATGGCGTGAATTTACAGGCTTGTAATTATTTATATTTATAATAAGTTTACTATTGTAATCTTTTGGAGGAAACAATAGAGAGTATTTATATGTATCATATATTTATGTATTATACTCTGTTATGTCCATGGTACTGTTCATGTGTATAGGCGACGGTTACCACTTTCCATCAGGTGGGCCGTCAGCTTGTTTACCATTTTAAGTTGTAGTATAAAAAAAAACGTGGCCCCCCCCTAGAAGTCATTGTAATTATGTCTTGCTGAATTCAGCACAATCGGCTAATTGGCCTGCTTTCGTCCTCACCTATCACCTCTCACAGGTGCCCCATCAGTGTATATAGATAGTGCGGGCGGGGTTGCCATTTCATCGACAAAAAAATCTGTTTTGTGTCCGTCGCATAGTGTAAGAGTGCCGGTGCTCACCTGATGGTGGTGGTCAGGGAGATGAGCACGTCCATGTTGGAGGTGCCGTGGCTGAGCGCCTTGTACGCCTGCTTGTAGAAGTGCCAGCCGCCTACGAACTGCAATAAACAATGCCCTATTACTAGTTGGTTCTTACAATCCCCACTTTATAATTTTTTACACTACAAATGTGGCAAACATGTATGCCAGTCTGATGGTAAACGGTCACTGTAGCCTATGGACACTTGCAACACTAGGGGTGTCACGTGCGCGTTGCCGACCCTGAAGAACTTTTTATAATAATCGCATTTTTATCCCAGATTTCTTGTCTGATATTGACTTTTGAACAGGTAAAAAAATATAAGTGCCGAGGTTTTCCCAAGAGACTACAGCATGGGGTTCTTTAAAGGGGGGTAAAGAGGTCACTTCAGGGTCGGCAACGCGCGCGTAATACCTCTGGTATTGCAGGCGTTCATAGGCTACGGTAACGGCTTACCATCAGGTGGGCCGTATGCTTGTTTGCCGCCATAGTGGTATAAAAAAAAAGGTAAGATAAAAAAGAAGATATCTTTTTTATCTTACCTTTTTTAACCATTCTTGACTTTTTTTTATGTAATTTAATATGATCACCAATGGCAGGGAGTTACTGGTTGCAGCTGGCTTAGGACCATTCCTCATCCTTATAACAGTCTACTAGGGAGGCATATGTCCAGTAGTGGACGGATAATGACTGAGATGATAATGAGAATGGTAACCAAGCCAACGGCCCACCAGTAAGTAGTAACGTCACCTGCAGTCACTTCATACATCATGGAGGGGGGAAAAGGTTTGTTAGTAATGGAGTTTGACAGCCCCATTGCTAGCAATATGCCCTATTAGGTCGATCTCCACGTGTTTCCCCCGGGAAACCATCATGAACAATTCTTGTTGAATTCGTCACGATGGGCTAACTGGCCTGCTTCATCCTCACCTATCATCTTCCACTGGTGCCCCGGTGTATACCGATAGCGCAGGTGGGGTTACTATTTCATTATCACCCATTAAAAAAATGCATCATGAAGATGATGAAATATATTCTGTTAAGCGCTGATCTGATCTGATCTGAGACGAGTTACTCAACGATACAAGTACAAAGATGCTGACGTGGATGGTACCTGGACCGGCGTGGCGAGCGCCCACATGAGCAGGTTGTCGAGGCTGAGGCCGGGCAGCACGCAGCACATGTCGCGGGCGCTGTGGTGGGACATGGCGCTCATGAAGTACACCATGGCCGCCATGCACGGCGCGCCGAATATCAGCGACACCAGGAATGTGTTGCGCCAGCGTCGAATTTCCTCCCTGCAATAGAACAGAATTGAAATGGAAAGCGATAGGAGTTATTTTTCTTTTATTTTTATGATTCTATCGCCAAATTACCAGAGGAAGACTTTGTACAAAAGTCGATTGCTGAGTCCTCAGGAATGGCAACGCATGGGGGGTATCATGGGTGAAACAGTATAGTCTGCTATGTCCATGGTACTGCTCATGTCTATAGGCGACGGTCACCACTTTCCATCAGGTGGGCCGTCAGCTTGTTTGTCATTCTAAGTTGTATAAAAAAAAAATTCATGCAATTTCAGCGGAGAACAATGGGCAAGATACAAAATATTGAGATTGCCAATTCGTCTATATTTTTTTTTTCTACAGTCACAAAGTTAAACAATAATGTCGCCAGTAAAAAAAAAAATATTATATCGCTAAGTAGGAACCGATTTCATTTAGTACGTTCTCTTTAACTATGTTTTGACAACTTCCGCCCTCCCAGACCCTTATTCATAAAAAATACCAAAAATCTAACAAACAAAGGGAAAAATGAAAAAAAAAACGGCTTAAATTTTCAAATTGATAAAACTGGCAACACACTAACACTTAATAGGATTAAGTAAAGAAGGTTTTAGTTATTATGAATACATTAATATACTATAATGCCACTTTTTCTATTAATATAAATAAATAATTTCATCTTAAAACAGTTGGTGTTCGTATGTGCATACTTGTACTGAAAATATTATTTATTTATTATTATTATTATTATAGCTTTTTACCCACTTCCGTGGTCCCCAAGGGTAAAAGCCTCCTTCATCTTTTTCCACTTCTCCTTATCTATAGCAATACTTGTCCAGTTTTTTCCTGCTGTCTTTATTATGTCATCTGCCCACCTCTTTCATTGCCTTCCAACACATCTTTTTCCTGCTGGACCTCGCCATTTTGTTGTTTGGAGAGTCCACCTTTTATCTTTGTACATCCCTGTATGGCCTGCCCATCTCCACTTGTATTTCATTTTATTTCATAAAGCATCTGTATTTTGGTTTTATTCCTAATATCAGTGTTTCTTATTTTCTGTATTTTTCTTAATTTTAAGATACTTCTTTAAATTAAATATTATTTATTATAAATGTAGAAATATTAATGGCGCATGTAGCGGTGACTTAGTAGGGTTACCAGATGCAATTTGTTTACCCGAATGTAACAAATTTTTTCCTTAATAAACTTCTTTCACTTTTACCGAATCACAAATTGAGGTCAATTCCAAAATGTTTATTCACATAAACACTACGCGAACGATAAAAAAACAATTGCTTGTTCGCTTCATATTGGATTTCCATTGAAGTTACGATACTGCAAAGACGAAAAATTGTTTGCCCTAAATTGCGGAATAAATTATCCAATTTGGCAAGGACGCAACTCACTTGTGCTCGAGGTAGTGTGCGGCGCCGCGGTTGTGCGCGGCCGCCATGCTGGCCTCGAAGCCCAGCCGGTTGATCGCCTCGCAGATCCTGCGCGGCCCTATTTGCTCCGCGTTGTACTTTATTTTGCCCCTGTAATCACAAAAAATTAATAGTCGAGCGATGGGCAGTAGCGTCCTTCTTAAAACATCACCAAAGCCTGTTGCCAAGTCGCGTACCACGTGGCAACTATTTAAAAAACCTAAGAACAAGGAATAACATAGAAGGAATAATAAAAAAAAAAAAACTGTAAATCATATGGTTGCCTCCTTTCTTCTTATGCAAATATAATTAGTAAAAAGAAGACGAAAGACACCATCGGTTGCTATTTTTGTCAATTCATAACAGGTTAGTGTATTGAAAACGTTTGATATGTCAATCATTTGTCAATGACACATTTTACATTACTAGATTATATATTCGACACAGTTTATGTGGAAAGTATGCGAGCAGGTTGTATCTGAATTTGGTAGGGTTATATGGCCGAAAAACATTTTCTATACAGTAGCCTGCTATGAAGTTTTTATCATTCCTTCTATGTAATTCTTTGTTCTTAAAAAAAAAACCCTTATAGGGGAGGTTTATATTCGACAGTCGACAGTTAATAGCTGATATTAAGGAGACTTTGTACAAAAGTCATTTGCTTAGGTGCTTCTGTCCCATTCGTGTTTCAACCGTAAAGCAGTTGTGTTTGCATGGTTGTGTTTCGGTTTGAAGGGTGGGATATGGCGTGAATTTACAGGGTACAGAGGAATAATACCTGAGTCCTCAGGAATGGCAACGCATGGGGGGTATCATGGGCGAAACAGTACTCTGTTATGTCTATGGTACTGCTCATGTCTATAGGCAACGGTTACCACTTTCCATCAGGTGGGCCGTCAGCTTGTTTGCCATTCTAAGTTGTATAAAAAAAATATAATGACAATATAAATGTACATAATGAAATACTCTTTATAGGACTATACTCGAGATAGGATGTAACAGCACATACTTGGACGTGGTGAGAGCAACGGCGCACGCGGTGACGCCGTCCAGCTTGAGCACCGCCTTCTCTATCTTGTTCACGCACGACGCACACGTCATGCCCTTAATCTGGAATATAAAATTAAAAAAAAAACTCACAATACTGCAATACAAAGATAAAAGGTGGGGTAAGTCGGCGACGACGGAGCCGGGTCGTTGAGCTTCCTAAAATATGATTGAGCGCAATGATGGCTAATGCATCCGTCATACTCGTGAACGGGTGCTGCTTGTGGGGACTAGTCTGCGCGTATTTGCCTATTTATTTAATATTGAATAATATATGTACACGGAAATAGAACTCAATACTATAGTCACAGTATTGGTTACTGTGACAGATGTAAAATTATTTTGTAAACAAATGAATTGAAAAGTGTAACTGTTAAGGTTCCTGCGAGTTCTTCTAAGCAAAAAACAACATTCCGTAGCCAGCAGTATTACAAAAAATTACGATTTAAAAGAACTTAAAAGTTTTTTATAACCCTCGTACCGCGTACAGGTCATTGTGACCGAAATTTGTTGTTATAGAGAGCTAAGTTCTTGAGACTTACCACTTTTTGCACGCATGATGCGAAAAAATTATAATTATCAAGAAAGAAAGAAAGAAATAATTTAATCAAAAGAAACATGCGGCCCACACAGTAGCGCACAAAACAAAAACAAAAGAAATCAAAAACAAAACAAACAAAAGAAAATAATAATTATATACAAATTAGCAATTAAAAAAAAATGATGTAGGTAATTCAGCATATTCAGCGCTACAGCGCTGTTTTTCAGCAAGAACCATTGTGGTTTGTATACCTAGAACTGCGGAAACAAATTTCGGAGATATTAAGTAATGAACTTAAAACACTGATCACAATGACCGGTCTGCGGTTCGAGTGTTAATAAAGATCATTTTTGTTGTATTGCACTTGGCGTGTCCACATTTTGTCGAGCTTCTTTAAATCCGATGTAGCTGCGGCCGAAACTACCCTCATCATTATCGGATTAATTTAATTAGTTAACGATATTCACTAGAAGTGATAGAAAACTAGTTAGAAATAAGAAATTTAAATTGACATATATAGTATTCATGAAAGAAAAAGGGCACATATGGTCGATACAGGGACAGAGTTCGTACCATCTCCCCTGAAAATTATCGCGGTCAATTCCTCGCGAGTTCGTCAGGTTAGGTTAAATGACTTCACTCGCATATAATCACATAAATGGTAATAGCTTTACAATAAAAACAGTTCATTTATAAAAAATAGTACACTTTTAATATTATATATAGTTATATCTGGTAGATATAACCAGATTTTTGGTCCTTCAAACCGGATATAGTAAAATCCTATTAATATAATAAATGTGAAAATTTGTAACGATAGATGGATAGATATCTATCTTGTTGTACTTTCACGTAAAAACTAATAAATGTATTTGAATGAATGAATGAATGGTTTATTTTCTCTTCACAAAAGGTAGTCTAAAGCGACAAATTGAGGTACAATTAGATATGTAAGACCAATGAATGAACTTTTATAGACGGTAGGTTACATCCTAAATTAGTACATAGAATAATTTATATACTAATTCACGCGGATAAAGCTGCGGGATATAGCTAGCATAGCAACAATTTTAAACCTACATTAGTGACCTCCTTACTCTACACTTCACTGTAGCGACGGAATGCCACGTACAATGCCCAAAAGTTCCCCCTCGGCGACACCAAATGACGATAAACTCACCACAACAACGAGGTCCTTCTGGCCGCTGCCGTCGCAGTCGCTGACGACGTCCGCGGGGAAGCCCAGCTCGGTGATGGAGTGCGCTATGTCCGCGGCGGATATCGCGCGCGGCTCGTACTTCACCTCCGCCTTGGCCGCCAGCAGGCCGATATTTATTGAATGAACGCCTGCCGACGACGACAAATATTGTAATTCATAAATACATACTCATATTTATTACTTTCACATTTGGATAAAGTGTTGTATGCGTTTATTTTATTTTTATACAACTTAGAATGGCAAACAAGCTGACGGCCCACCTGATGGAAAGTGGTAACCGTCGCCTATAGACATGAGCAGTACCGTGGACATAACCGAGTATACTGTTTCGCCCATGATACCCCCCATGCGTTGCCATTCCTGAGGACTCAGTTGTTATTCCTCTGTACCCTGTAAATTCACGCCATATCCCACCCTTCAAACCGAAACACAGCCATGCAAACACAATTGCTTATTATATGTGTTTCGTGCTTCCAATCGAACTGTTTATAATTACTCCTCTCCATCCAAAGGTTGCCTGAAAGAGATCGCTCTTAGCGATAAGGTCGCCCATTGTTTTCTCAGTGTAAATGTATTGTATCAGTCATTAATTGTCCACGGCTGAACACAGCCCCCCCCCCCATAATGGGAGTTGTGCCAGTGGTTGCCACGCTTGGTAGGCAAGTTGGCAACTGCAGTTTGGCTTTTGGTAATGTTTTAAGAGGGACGCCGCTGTCCATACCTCGCCCTTCTCTCGTCAGTTGTTACGATACACACGGGAAAGGCAGGGGTGGCCTATTATATGGCCAAATATAATATTTTCTTGTAATTGTTTGTATTCATTATTTATTTTCCACTTTTTATTTTACATAACTGCCTACCTATAATGTATGCACTACTATAATGTTGTACCTCCAAGTTTAATTTAGTTGATTGTAAGTATTAGCGATGTCATGTGCATTTGTTAAATCTTGTTTTTATTTGGGAAAACGTATAATTGGCTTATTGTCTTTAATATATATATATATATATAATTATATAATATATATATATATATATAATTATATATAATTTATTTATAATATATAAGATTGGCTGCAGTTAAAATTGTGTATATATATATTCTTTATTGCACTAAAACATACAGTAACAACAGTAAGTTAATAACAATGTTAGCAAAGGCGAACTTATCTCCAAAAGAGATCTCTTCCAGTTAATGTTTTTTTTTATTATGAAATTTTCCACCTGTTGTTTATTTTTTTTATTAAAAAAAAAAAAAAAAAATAAGTTTACTATTGTAATCTTACAGAGGAAACAATAAAGAGTATCTATCTATCTATCTATCTATCTATCTATCTATCTATCTATCTATGTCTGAGAGGTTAGGTTGTTTAATTCCCACTATTATTATGTATATGATAAAGTGAGTTTGTTTGTTACTTCTTGGTACTTTAACAGCTCAATCTCATTTGAACCTCTATACCAGTGATTCTTAATCTTTTATTTGTTGCGGCACATATTTAACGATTTCAAAATTTGGCGGCACACAAAGAAAAAGATAAATTTTTTTTACTTACTACAATACACTGTATAAATAGTTTATGACAAAATTTTGAAATATTTGCAAAATTTAGCGGCACAGTGGTTGAGAATCACTGCTCTATGCGCTTATTTCTACATAAATAAATCAAACGTCTAATAAACCAATTTCAGCTATTAGAAAAGTGTTTTGTCTTTTTCTATTACGCAAAATTTTTATTTTTATTTTTTATTTTATTTTAACATGAAAGGGAAACATGACAACTACGTTACAGTAAAAAAATATTTATGACCATAACATAAATAGTGAAGTTTCCACAATAAATAAACCAAATAATCGAAGCAGATGATTATTGATATTATATATGATATTGATGAACATAAAATATATATTGATATACATTGTTAACATACACACACACACACACACACACACACACACACACACACACACACACACACACACACACACACACACACACACACACACACACACACACACACACACACACACACACACACACACACACACACACACACACACACACACACACACACACACACACACACACACACACACACACACACACACACACACACACACACACACACACACACACACACACACACACACACACACACACACACACACACACACACACACACACACACACACACACACACACACACACACACACACACACACACACACACACACACACACACACACACACACACACACACACACACACACACACACACACACACACACACACACACACACACACACACACACACACACACACACACACACACACACACACACACACACACACACACACACACACACACACACACACACACACACACACACACACACACACACACACACACACACACACACACACACACACACACACACACACACACACACACACACACACACACACACACACACACACACACACACACACACACACACACACACACACACACACACACACACACACACACACACACACACACACACACACACACACACACACACACACACACACACACACACACACACACACACACACACACACACACACACACACACACACACACACACACACACACACACACACACACACACACACACACACACACACACACACACACACACACACACACACACACACACACACACACACACACACACACACACACACACACACACACACACACACACACACACACACACACACACACACACACACACACACACACACACACACACACACACACACACACACACACACACACACACACACACACACACACACACACACACACACACACACACACACACACACACACACACACACACACACACACACACACACACACACACACACACACACACACACACACACACACACACACACACACACACACACACATAATTTGATGTTCTATGATACACACACACTGTTCATATTAACATACACACATTTTTATTTACAATAAAAAAAAAAAAAAACAAATATATCAATAACAATTTTAACATGATTTTTCCTATCCATATTACGGGGTTTGATTTTCAACGTGTTTTTTATATAAATTTAAATATTTTTGAAAAAAAGGAGGAAATTATAACAATTGAAGCTCTTATAAGATACGTATTACTCATGTAATTCGTGTGTGAAATAGGTGTACAAAATAACAAATAATTTTAACATGAAAGAAAGTGACAACACGTTACAGTAGAGTGGAGGATGTAATTTTTATGAATAAGGTAAATAGTGTTGTACAAATGAGCCATAAATTAGTATTAATTAAGTAAATTAATGCCGTTAAATGATTATTGATATGCATTGTTAACAATAAAGTTATTGATTTAGCACATAACTGCACGGATTGTTTAAACAATTGTCATGTAAATAGGGCACCGGTGTTGAGTATAATTTAATATAATTCAAATACAAACACGCAAGGTAATTCGAACAATAACATAAATTAAAATGTAAGCAATGTAGTCTAAATAAAAATTAATCGCAAAATATGTTGCTAACGGCAAAAATAATAATAATGATGATTTATTGCACATAAAAACATACAATCATGGGCTTACAGAAATTTCAAAGTGATTTACATGTGTAAAAATGTAGCATTACGCCCAGCACATTAGTGTCTAAACTAGGCCTAGACTGTATCTTAGACACTAATGCCTTCTATTAGATACATATTTTCGTGCAGTTTCGCTATAAAACTATCAGTCCATATTGAACAGCCATAGAAATGAATTGGCCGCTCAATTACAGGGATCGGGAAGCATTAGTTTCTCTCGATTAAAAAGACACAGTATCCAAGGACTGGTAGAAAGATTTACAGGCAGAGACTGAGAGCTGGTTAATGGATTGGCCTCATCATTTATTGACAAAATTTAAACCTGACATCCGGACAGCAGATTGGATTATTGTTCTATAAGGAACAGATTGCCAATTAGCAGACTAGAAAAAGAAAGAAAAAAAAAAGTTTCGCTATATTAAAGTAGTACAAGATTCAGTAAACAACATGTTTTATATTACTAAAATAGGGATTCTGTGAAATAAATTACAATGTTGTATCAAGAAATGTGCCAAATGAAAGAAATAGAAAACGGCTGGACTTTTTTTTGGCAATTTTTAAGGTATTCTTTGAAATCGGAGGAAGGTTTTTAAGAAGAGAAAAACATTGTAAAAAATTTTTCGGATAACTGTAAAGCCCCTAGTTTCTTTTCTAAGCTTTTCATTGCTGTGGACGACAAAGGAAACCGGGAACGAAAATTGCAAATAAAAGTATATTTATAAGAAGGAATTTAGAAAACTAGAAGGGGACCCCGAAGGGAATAATAGAAAATTATGTCAATTTTGAATTTGGTAGATAATAATATAAAATTAATTTAACACCAATACATAATTTGAATCTACGAAGATTCTAAGATGTTTATATTAAAAGAAGGCATTTAAGTAAAAAAAAAAAAAAAACAAAATGGCTGTCACTTTTAGTGACATTATCCGTCTATATAATGATTTTCAATCTTCAGTTCAAAATTTTTCTATTTTTAAAAAAATATGGAAGAATTATGAAGTATCACCTTTATCTTATTTTTAATAAATAATTAAATATATAAATAATGTTATATATTATAGATGATTATTTAATCCCAAACCTTCCCCTAATTACCTTAATCTAAAGTAATAATTTCTAATCTGGCAACACTTTCGCGTATACAACTGTATGAAAAAATTAACCCGCTTTTTTCGAAGTATTTATACAAAGATAAATCTAAGTAATCTAAAATATAGTACATTACTGCGGCGGCCAGCAACTGAGACATTGATGGACGAACGTGCAAATGTGGGCCGAGGCGTAGCCGAGCCCTGCACGCATGGTTTGTGGCGTATTATTCAATGACTGAAAAAAAAAATAAGGCAAACTATAAAAAAACAATAATAATTTTTCACGCGCCATAATGTTCCTTTGTTTTTTTTTTTTCAATAAACAATATTCTATTTGCAAGCCAGTTCGAAATTAAAATAAAACTTTTTATTAGTTACCTCCTTGGTAGCCATGTTTTGAAGTAAAATGTCATTCCATTTTTAAAATACAAGACAGATATGAGTTTACATAGTAATTTATCTGGTCGCAAAATACGACAGATATGGATTTTCATACAACTTTTGCCGGCCGCTGCCTGCATGTATCTGGCCAGTACGGCAATTTTGATTTATCTCGAAGAAGATTGTCAAAATAATGCTCACATTTCCAAGCATGTTTGAAAAATAACATCAGAACTATAAACAATATAGTAGGCTGTATTTTTGATCGAACATGGGCCGGGCAAGCTACTTTTCTAATATAAATAAATGGGTGTAATAAATTTTGGGCGTCACTGTATACCGACCATATATCTTGGAGCAGTGCTTCTCGATGGCGGCGACGCACGAGGCGCACGTCATGCCGCGCACCTCCAGCGTGCAGCGCCACACCTCCGGCGCCGCCCGCGCCCGCGCCGAGCCCTGCGGCGACACAGTATAGCATAGCATTGCTCTATAGCTACCATGGTACATCCTTATCGAAATATGCTATAACTTCACACTTTGGGGAGTGGGAGAAGGGAATGTTAGTAATGGAGATTAGTAGCCCAATTGCTAGCAATATAAAAATAAAATAGTAAAATGAAAAAAATATACTATATCAGTACATTCGATCCTCCTCGTGGTTACCCCCTGGAAACTATGTTCATTACCAATTATTGCTGCAAAAAAAAACCGCAATAAGGCTATTGGTGATGTTCTAAGAGGGACGCTGCTGCCTATCCTTCAACCGTTAAGTTCCCTTAGAATAGAATAGAATAGAATTTTATTGCTAACTGTGTACATACATATAGCAGTAACCATTGCTACCGATTGCTGGGAATATAATACGTAACGACTTTGTATAACTTACATTGGCTTGCGTTTTGCTTTTGACGGGCGACGGCGGTTTTATTCCATCTCCGGAGGCCTGATCGCTTTTGGTTTGTGGCGTATTATTCTCTGAAAAAAAAAAATAAGGCAATACTATAAAAAAACAAAAAAAATAGTTTATAGTCTATAGTTTAGTGTTACACCTATGTTTATGCAAATAAATGATTGAAATATGTGTCCCAATCTCGATCTACCAGAGGGAGACTTTGTACAAAAGTCGTTTGCTTGGCCACCTCTGTCCTCTTCGTGTTCCAACTGTGAAGCAGTTGTGTTTGCATGGCTATGTTTCGGTTTGAAGGGTGAACTTACGATATGGCGTGAACCTACCAGGTACAGAGAAATAACATCAGAATCCTCAGGAATGGCAACGCATAGGGGATATCATGGGCGAAACAGTATACTCTGTTATGTCCATGGTACTGCTCGCGTTTATAGGTGACGGTTAACACTTTTCATCAGGTGGGCCGTCAGCTTGTTTGCCATTCTAAGTTGTATAAAAAAAAAACAAGATCTAAGGCAATGTCCAAGATTGTAGTGAGATCTACAAACTTTCTCCTTTTTATGTATTGAATTCATAGTAAATAAGATTTGAAATATACTAATAATATCTTAAAACAAAGAAAACAACACATAAAATAAACTAATCCGTATTTTTTAAACTAAATATTTTGTCACGAGCCTTTCTGAAAGCCGAATTTACTTTTATAATAAAAGCTAACAACGACCTGAGAGAGGCTAAAAAATAAATATAAAAGTTGCCTGCATTTTGGTACATCTACCCCATTCGTGTTTCTGTCGTGAAGCAGGTGTGTTCCGGTTTGGAGGGTGGGACTTAGCAACGAAATTATAGGGTACGGAGGCATTGCACCGTTGTTCTCAAGAATATCAATGTAGCATAAGGCATCACAGTATATTCTGTGATGTCCATGGCGCCGTTCAAATTTCTAATCGACAGCTACTTTGGGGGGAAGGGATTGTTAGTAACAGCCCCATTGCTAACAATTTACCCTATTAGGTCGACCTCCACGCGGTTCCCCTAGGAAATCATTGTGGTTAATTTTGTGGATTTGTCACGATGGGCTAATTGACCTGCTTTCATTCTTACCTATCATCTTTCACTGGTGCCTCGCCAGTATATATTAAATATAAATATATATAGATAATCAGCTTATTTGTCATTCTTAGTTGCAAATATAAACATATACAGTTCTCTTTCGACCACTCGCTCACCATTATACTGCTTCCCGTCGACGGACACTATGGTGACGTCGAACCCCAAGTCGTATACTGTGTCGGCCACCTGGCGCGGCGTGAGCGCTCCCGGGGAACAGCGCACGCGGGCCGTGCCCGCCGCCAGGTCCACGCTGGGCTCTATCACGCCGGGTAGCTCTTTTAGTGCCCCTGGGGTAACGACATGGAATTCATAGTATAATTTACCTTTAAGTCTTAGGAGAGATTTTGCCTCACTCTGCGTGTTCTACCGCCTGTACAATGGATTGTACTCAGAGGAGTTGTTCAATATGATGCCCACAGCCACTTTCTACCCTCGCACGGCTCGCCATTGACAGGGAGTTCATCCTCATGTCCTACAGCCTCAATAGTCGCGTGCTGCGCGGTTTCACAGATATTTCCTCCCACGAACACTCAGGTTGTGGAATGAGCTCCCTGCCGAGGTTTTCCCAGGAGACTACAGCATGGGGTTCTTCAAAAGGGGGGTAAAGAGATTTCTTCAGGGTCGGAAATGCACGAGTAATGCCTCTGGTATTGCAGGTGTTCATAGGCTACGGTAACCACTTACCATCAGGTAGGCCGTATGCTTGTTTGCCACCTCAGTGGTATAAAAAAAAACTAGTCGATGGAGCAAGCGTTATTTTGCTTCGACTTAAATTATTTACAAGCATACACTAACAAAAATATATTTGTCGACTATTTCATTTGCCACTTGTACTAATACATTTGTCACTTGCTAACTAAACCATCCAAGAAGCAACTAGCAACTTTGATAGGTTTTTTCAAGTTATTACATCATGGAGTTCTTGAAAAAAGGGGTAAAGAGGTTTCTTCAGGGTCGGCAATACACGCGTAATGCCTCTAGTATTGCAGGTGTTCATAAGCTACGGTAATCACTTGCCGTCAGGTGGACAATATGCTTGATTGCTATTTAGGAAAACCGTGTTCCATGAACACTTTGCATTGTATAGAAAATGTTTGAATTTACAATTTGGATTCGTGTGTTTACAACAAACAGTTATTTGCTCTTCAAAGAAAAACGGTAGCTTCAATCGTTAAAAAATTAAAATGGTACCGACACGGGTTAGACCCTATTAGCAAAAAGATTTGTGAAATCCAGATCAGAATTTGCGACTTAGAAGTATCAAAGCTACCTTCTTCTTTTGAAAGTGGCTTAAGAATGGTGCTGCCAATAGAATGGATACCAAGTTATTATAACACCTCGTGCTGAATGGTCTAGCCAAATTCTCAATGGCTCGTGGGCATTTGGGACTTTCAGGAGGGCAGTAGAAGGCCCAGAGAAAGTTATTGTTTCAACATAATTGTAGCAAAATAAAAAAAAAAAAGAAATATTAAGATGTCTTCATCTTTTCAAAGGAGAGTTGGACAAAATAAGGTTGAGAAGCTATGGTCTAGAGCGGTGTTTACCAACGTGGGGCTCACGCCCCACAGGGGAGTCATTTGATAGTTAAGGGAGAGCAATTAAAACATTGACTCGAAGCGATTTTAACACTCTTGCTCCGGGACATTTAAATACAATGTAGCGTACAAGTAGACATCGGTGACAAATTTAACAAAAAAAGTAAATTAAAAAATGCTGTAAATATTTATTAGGTATAATTTCGTTTGGCGTTACCAAAATATCAACTGGACGATTAGAGTCGTCAAGTGAACATTGTTGGAAAAAATTATGTATGGGCATAACAAAAGGCATTTCTAAAAGAAATGTTCAAATGGGGCATGGCTCAAAAAAGCTTGGGAAACACTGGTCTAGAGTAAAGCACACTTCACGAAGTAACACTCACCTTCGATGGTGTTGACGCAGGATTGGCACGTCATGCCGACCACGGAGAGGAAGACTTCCGTTTCGCCGTCACCGCTCACACCGGACATGTCTATCAGGAGGTCGGTCGGTATCTCTTTTGGCAGCAGTTGACTGCGGGAACATGACCAAACATGTCTACATTATTATGAAGCGTCAAACCAGTCTTAATTTGCAGTCGTGATTATTTCTAAATAGCAGCCAGCATCTTTTAAATTCAACAGATTTTAATAAAGGTTTTACTGTTTCATTAAGGTATTTTTAACAGAAGCTATGCATATTTTAGTGACGACCTAGAATGCATTGCAGGTAGTCAGTGCATGCAGGTGGCTCAGGACCGTTCTTTATGGCAGTCTATGGGAGAGGCTTATGTCCAGCAGTGGACGGATAATGTCTGTAATGACGATGATGATGCATATTTTAAACACACAATCGGTACTTAACGCGATGTAAAAACAAAAGTAAATACGAGTGGATAGTCCGAGAAGAAAGTTAATTTGTCTCCGCAGGTTATTAGGTGGATAATATTAATTCGGGAAGTTTTATAAAATAAAACCACGTGTTAATCCTGTTCCTTCCTTATGGAGCCATTTTAATTATACTTTTTTACTGTAAAGTTTTAATAGTTTTTTTTTTTTCACAATAATAATGTAAAGGAAATAAATCTATGTTTCCGATCGAATGAACGAGTAGTGGCTCTAGACAACAATGGTGACAATGCGAGGGTACTTGAAGACACTACGCGAGCTGCCAGACGAAGACGCCGCTCACTTCAGTCCTGTCGTGACCACGACGTGGTGCAATTTACGTCGAAACTTCGGCAATAAAGGAGAAACTGCAATTTTTCGTCATCAATCTGGAAATTTGCCGAAAGCTATCCACAGTTTCGAAGATGGTGGACCATTATTTCATAGACGACATTTATTTTTTCGTTGTCACAGATGGTGGCGTTAAAGTTGGCTCCAGGCCACCAGATACGCTAAGGCCGGCCCTGACAATTGCTTTCAGGTGGACTACCTTTGTTTCGCTGGCAATAATACAATATAAAAGCACTGACCTGGTCTCGTCCCCGTTCTCGGACGGCACTTCGAACCCCATGTCTTCTATATGAGACCTGATGGCCTCCACGGAACACACCCGCGGGTCATATCTGAAGTAGCCGGCCTTCTCTGATAGCTCCACCTGGTAATTAGAACCATATGTTCATAACTATACCTCTGGATGCTGTAGTCATTTGTCAACATGTAACGTTATTTTTAAGTGTTATTTTCATTTTTTAAACATATATAATTGAACAGGAGTTTAATTAAGTTACTTATTAGTTTTTACTTGTCGTTTCCGGCAATAAAAAATTATAAATAAGACAATATTAACACCTGAGTCCTCAGGAATGGCAACGCCATGCGTTATATCGCCCATGGGGTATCATGGGTGAAACAGTATACTCTGTTATGTCCATGGTACTGCTCATGTCTATAGGCGACGGTTACCACTTTCCATCAGGTGGGCCGTCAGCTTGTTTGCCATTCTAAGTTGTATAAAAAAATTAAAGACAATTTTTATTGTCTCTAATTTTTTTATTACTAATTGCGCGATGGTGGGATTTTTCCCGCCATTGCGTGCCATTAGTCCCCATTACTAACAATCCATCCCCCCCCCTCATTCAGTTAGTTATCACGATAACAGTAACGGCAATGGTAAATCCAGTGGAATGAATAGAATAGTATAATATTAACCAAATATGCTCAAAGGACCTCACGAGAGCAATAAATAAAATAATTTTATCTGCAAGATGGAATAACTAATCCACAGTATAGCCTCATGAGCTTTAATTTTATGCACTATCCACCTACTAATATATAGAATACATTAAACATAAGCCATACCAGAGGGAGACTTTGTACAAAAGTCGTTTGCTTGGCCACCTCTGTCCCATTCGTGTTTCAACCGTGCAGCAGTTGTGTTTGCATGGCTGTGTTTCGGTTTGAAGGGTGGGATATGGCGTGAAATTACAGGGTACAGAGGAATAACATCTGAGTCCTCAGGAATGGCAACGCATGGGGGGTATCATGGGAGGAACAGTATACTCTGTTATGTCCATGGTACTGCTCATATTTATAGGCGACGGTTACCACTTTCCATCAGGTGGGCCGTCAGCTTGTTTGTCATTCTAAGTAGTATAAAAAAAAACATAAGCCATAGATTTGACGTGTAGGTACCGGCATAGAATAGGTCACCCTTTAAATTCCCGTGGATATTTTAAGAGGCGACTATGGGAGGGCGAAGTATGGGCAGCAAGGTCCCTCTTAAAACATCACCAAAAGCCAAACTGCAGTTGCCATACCGTCTGCCAAGTGTGGCAACTGGGAAAATCCTCCTTATGGGGGAGACTATGTGATACAACAAAATGTCAATGTATTGTAATGTTCATAAGACATTATAGAATAGAATAGAATAGAATAGAATAGAAATCATTTATTCAAATAAACTTACATTGAAGCACTTTTGAAAAGTCATTAAATTTTTTTTAATCTACCGCTCGTTCGGAAAGCTGTCTCATCACAAGAAGAACGAGCAAGAAACTTGCGTGTTGCTCTTTTAAATAATTTTATTATTACTTTACATTTTTAAGTTTAAGTGTGTGAATACAAACAAATATACATACAAATAATATAATTATGCAAAGCAAATCCTATAATATTTCGTGTCAGGTGGCTTTTTAGACTATATACTACATCGAAGTTACACCAACCTTCACGTGATGAACACCAGGCATTTCGCTGACGGAGCCTTCGATGCTTTTCACGCAGGATTGGCATGTCATGCCGATAATCGGCACGCGCACAGCCACCAGCTCTTGGCTGGACTCTCTGTTGACAAAAGAAATATTCACTATTAATAAGAGAATACCATAGAAATTACCTTCATAAATTTTAAGGAGGTAGAAGTAATTTTGTACAAGACATGGAGTTTCTACGAAATTTATAAACAAGTACATGGATAAAGTAGGATGTTTTTTACTTTTCTGGCTTCGTCCCTCAGCTCTGACATGTGAACTCTCAACTAAACTTGTTCACAAAAACGCAGAACTTTTTTCTTTTGCGCCAAATTCTCGATTCGAAGGAAAGCGACAAAATTCTCTAATAGTTTAGTTTGTGAATATGAGTATATATGTAGACGGTAGCAGTGCCCTTAATCTTACTTATCATTGATGGACAATAAGAAAGGGACTCGGTTAATCATTTCGTAAGAATTATTAGGCAATATAACGTACATTTTTGACCACAAATATGACAACAGAGCTCACCTATTGGTATATGGTTAACGCAGTCTATATAGCTATAGGATGCTATAGGAGACCTATAGCATCAGAGGCATCTTTTCCGTATTGCTGAACATTGCGTCAAAAAGATTTTAACTCATAGCGGACAGTAATTTAATATGCAAACAAATACTAGAGTGTGCACAAAAGTCAATTGCATGGATATCTTTGCCCCCCCCCCCCCTCTCCCAATCCGTGTTTTACCGCGAAGCAGCTGTGTTTACATGACTGTATTCGGTTTGAAGGGCATATGGAAGTAGCATTACATGAACGGAGGAATAACAGCATAATCTACAAGAATAGTAATGTATAAGAAATACTATAGGCATCATCGCAGTGTATTCTGTGATGTTCATGGTACTTTTTTTAATGGGTGACAATGAAATGCGCTAACGGTATACGCTAGCGAGGCACCAGTGATGGATGATAAGTTAAAATGAAAAGGCAGGTCAGTTAGCCCATCGTGATGAATGCACCTGGAATTCAGCGCGATGGTTTCAAGGGGGAATAGATCTAATAGGGTATATTGCTAGCAATGGGACTGGTAGTTCCAATTACTAACAATGCCCTCCGTCCTTTTCCTGGTGCTGTTCATGTCTATAGGCAGCCTTCTTTACAAACAGATCCCAGTATTGGATTACAGAAACTGTAAATGGCTGCATTTTTTAACAGTAATTTAGAAGCTCTTTTCGCAGAAACTGTAACTATCCTCTGGTAAAATTATTATTTCATATTATGTAGTATATAGTATTGTTTACACAATACCTGATCCAGTTTAATGTATTCAAATGTCCCCGGGCGGTTGGCACGAATACGTGAACGGTAATTTTGTAATAAGCGCACGACGAGATTCAAGTCCAAATAATCGATAACTCAGATACGACCTACATAATATTGCACTTGCTGTTACTGATAGATTTGGTCGTAAACCAAGTCGAAAACCTCACAAAGCCAAAAAACTTAGCTCAAGGAACAAAAACTCCATAATCCTTACCTAATATTAAAAATGTGAAAGGGAGTTTGCTTGCTTTGTTTTTTTTTTTTTTGTTAGACCACAAAGGTGGCCTACAAGCATACAGCCCGTCTAATGGCAAACGGTCACTGAAGTCTATGGACATCTGCATCGTTAGGGATGTCACGTGCGCGTTGCTGACCCTGAAGAAATCTTAAGTAATCCTTTTTTGTTTTTTACCTCTTAGCTGCTTAATGGCTTAACCAAATACTATAGGGGAAAGGACCTGTTAGTATTGGGATTTAACAGCTCTAATGCCAACGATGTAACCATTAGGTCGATTTCCATGCGATTCTCCCAAAAACCATAGTGGTAAATTCTTGTGAAATTCGTCACGATGGGCTAGTTGACCTGCTTTCATCCTCACCTATCATCAACGCGTGATCACATCGATTATGTACGAGTATAAAAGGATACATCAATGTTTTCAGATTTCGACTTAGTTTCTAGGAGCAAAATCCAAGATTACTATCACTGGATTTGTAATACTATTTAGTATACCCAATATACTTAAGCCTGTATACATAGATGATAAGTCTATAACGGTACATTATTTCTAATATCTGAAGTTTTATACAAGTGAAATCAAATTCGTTAGCGATGAATACAATTAAGAATCTACACCATGCCAAAAAACATTTTAGGACAGAAATTGTTGTACACGAGGAGCTTCCTCCTGCGAACGCTCAGGCTGCGGAATTAGCTCCCTGCTGAGGTTTTCCCTAGAGACTACAGCATGGAGTTCTCCAAAATTGAGGTAGAGGATTCAGGGCCGACTACGCTCGCATACACTCTGTCCCATTCGTGTTTCTACCGTGAAGCAGTTGTGTTTGCGTGGCTGTTTCGGTTTGAAGGGTGGGAAATGGCAGTTAATTTACAGGGTACAGAGGAATAACACCTGAGTCCTTAAGGATGGCAACACATAGGCGGTATCATAAACTAAACAATATAATCTGTTATGTCCATGGTACTGCACATGTATATAGGAAACGGTTACCATTTTCCATCAGCTTGTTTGCTATTCTAAGTTGTGTAAAAAATAAAAAACTTAATGCCCCTAATAATGCAAGCATTCATAGGCCACAGTCTCCGTTTACCATTAGATAGATAGATAGATAGATAGATAACCTTTATTACCAGTATTAAGAAAATAAAAAATTAAAACAACAAAAAAATAAAACAATTAATGTTGCTGGCAATAGGAGCCGCCTTAGCTGTTGCTATATATGTACAGCTCCACCGAGAAGTACTTATATAGCGCTGATTTTCAGGCGGCCCCTTGACTCCTTTACCTTTAGCATGCGTGCGGGTCGCCAATACCTATTTCTCGGATGATTAGGTAGATCATATACTTGCTTGCCACCTCAGTGGTATAATATAATATAGGGGGGGGGGGAAGGGATTATTAGTAATGGAGACTGAGAATCCTATTGCTAGTAATATACCCAACCAGGTCGACCTCCTCGCGGTTCTCCCTGGAAATTATCATGGTTAATTCCTGATGAATTCATCATGATGTGCTAACTGGCCTGTTTTCATTCTCATCTATCACCCTTCACTGGTGCTCCGCCAGCGTATCCCGTTAGCGCAGGCGGGGTTACCATACCATTTTCACCCATCAAAAAAAAATATAGGATTTTTCCGAACCGCGATTATCGGACAGAGATACAAACAAACAGTCGAACTGAGTTTTTTTTTTTAAATCAGTTAATAAACCAGTCAACCGTAAATTGTAGAGCGAGGAGCGCCCGCTCACTAGCCGGAATGTCCGCGCTCAATTCTTATCAGTTGTAATTTCACGCGGTTTACCAACTAATCAGCGGATAGATATTGTTTTACGACTATTTGTTTTGTGTCATTAGTTACGCTGGTTTAGTAGTTCGTTTGTTTGGGAACATCATGCATGTTTTTTTTTATACCACTGAGGTGGCAAACAAGCCCACCTGATGGTAAGTGGTTACCGTAGCCTATGAACGCCTGCAATACCAGAGGTATTACGCGTGCGTTGCCGACCCTAAAGAAACCTCTTTACCCCCCTTTTGAAGAATCCCATGCTGTAGTCTCTTGGGAAAATCTCGGCAGGGAGCTCATTCTACAACCTGAGTGTTCGTGGGAGGAAACATCTCTGAAACCGCGCAGTACGCGACCATTGAGGCTGTAGGACACGAGGATGAACTCCCTGTCGATGGCGAGCCGTACGACGTATTAATAACAATTTATAAAAATATATATCTACATATATTTTTATAAATTGTTATTAAATGTAATATATTGAAACTGCTCAATGATGTTTTAAGCCGGTGTCCGTAACTGGACGTGTTTGTCTCCAACTTGCTGGAGTTTCGTCGGATGACCACAATGTGTTTGTTTTTTTAAGATTTAAGACATTATTATTGTAATAAGATTTAAATGTAATTAATATTATTACATTTATTTATACATATGTGTTACTGTACAAATGCTTTCTTGAGTGAATGTATTGGGAAACTGTAAAGCTCACTCAGTTGATGAAATAAATAAATACAAAAGATAAATTTAAGATTTTGCTCCATAAAAACACTTTTTTTACAATACGGGGCAAACGAGCATGCGGCTCACCTGATGGTAAGTGTCTACCGCCGCCCATGATCACCCACAACATCAACGGCTTTGCAAGTATGCTGCTAACCTTATAAAAAGGAATATGCTCTTTTTTTAAAGGTTATGATGTCGTATCGGTTCAGAAATACTGCTGCTTGAAGTTGATTCCAAAGAGAGAGTTACTTTAAAGAACCTAATTAATATGGGATCATATTGGGACTGTAGTTATTCCAACTGCTATTTTAATGGTGAGGTGAGGATGTTTCCAAACATAGTAAATGACTTTTAAAAGAAAAGTCTTTTGGGGTGTTATTTCGCGCCAATTTATTACGTTAATATGCTCTTAACATCGCCAACTTTAATACAAATACGCGTGCGTAGGCGCTAAATCATATTATATTAGGAAGGTTATTTACCATACATACAAATAAGATTTTGTGTACGACTATAGCTCAATTTGGTAAAAAATCAGTGCAGAGTTTTTGAAGATATCGCGAAAATTACACATAAAAAAGTAAATGATTCTACTTTTTTTTAAGTGATTTAAAAATTTCAAATCTTCCTTTTTTTAATGGATGATAATGGAATGGTAACCCCACCCGCGCTATCGGTATACACTGGCGGAGCACCAGTGAAGGATGATACGTGAGGATGAAGCAGAAAGGTCAGCTGGCCCATCGTGACGAATCCAACAAGAAATGTTCACGATGGTTTTCAGGGGGAACCACGTGAAAATCGACTGAATAGGGCATATTTCTAGCAATGGGGCTATCAAACTCCATTGCTAACAATCCCTTTCCCCCTTAAATCTCCTATTGGAAGCTACATAACAAAATTTATGCACATGCATGCATACATCTATCAATTCTCTAGTACCTACCCATAATATTAGATGTGCTTATTTTAGGGTTAGATAGCGACGTCTGATATGTCCAATCAAGGCTACAAATTTATTA